ATGCCACCAAAGCTAGCAGTACTGGGAAGGATTTGGAGGATACACATGAGGTCTCTTGTCACACTAGTGATAACAGTGAGAAAAAAGTTGCTAATGATGGAGCAGTCCAGAAAGACTCAGACATTTGCAGAGATTTGAACATGTCAGCATTGCATACATCTTCAAATGACACTGCAGTTTCAATGTCTTCCAGCCATAGACCTAATGAGAGTGATATCAACAGTGTTAGTGATAGCCATGTGGAGAAAGCATGTCCCACAGAAGGTGCAAATAATACAGCTAGGGTTGAAAATGAAAGTAGAGATTTAGTTATAGATGAAGATGGGAAGAATCTCTCAAGCAGACTGGAAACAGCCTTTCAAGATAAAACAGAGACAACATTTTTCACTCATGAATTGGGGGAGAAAGAAAATCACAATTCTGTGAGTAAAGACCATGAAGAGAAAGAACTTATCAATGAGGACAATATGTCAAACACTTTAGAAAGGAAAAGGATATTAAGCACTCAAAATCAAAGTGAAAATTTAGTAACCAAGAATGATAAGAATGAATTGGGCTTGGATGAGCATGAAACAAATCTGCACAAACAGATGGAAACTGGCTCTGCAGAGTTGACTATGGTGATGTCAATCCTACAGAAATGTGGAGAGGAAAATACAGATACCTGTATCATTGGTCAAAACTCTTCTGAAATATCAGCTGTTCAAAATGATAAAATGGCAACAGACCTTGTTAGAGTTTCAGATCACCCTACATCGAGTACTTCTTTGAATGTTGGACTTCAAACATCCACAGATACTAACAGTAATTCTACTTGTAAAACTCTACCTCCTCCTCCTGTTGATTCTAACCAGGAATTTATTGGTGTTAAAGATGAAGTTGTTCTGCCAGCTGTTGATAACCAGTTAGACAAAATTGTAACTCATGTTGAAGTGGAGTGGGATAAAAGTATGGTAATAAGTGAGAACTCTTCTCTGTCTTTGGGAGAAACATCACCAGAGAGCACTCATGAAACTGTCATTAAACACATGGTTTTGGCGTTAGACGTGGGAAGTCACTTGCAAAACACATCGTCTGGATCTGTTTGTGGCCATACTAAGCTGGTAAAACAGGAAACAAATTTCTCTGCTGAGAAAGAAGGAAATGTTTTGATGTCAAGGTTTGATGGAGATGAGGAAAAGGACATAGTTCAATTGGTTAAATCATCAAGGGAGAATTTGGAACCAGGAAATAAAAAAGAAACTTTGACAGACAATGTGACTAGTCAGAAAATCCCAGAGTTATCAAGCAACCCACATGTAGAGGAAGTACCATCATACAGAGACATTAATGCAGAAAACAGGCTTATTTTAGCACTGAGGCTGTCTTGTAAATTATCCCCTGGGAATCTTGTTAAAGATCTTGATACTGCAAGTGTAATGTCTCTTCATTTGATGCGCTCTCTATCACCAGGAGAAATTAGTGTTACCAAGTTGTTACAGAAACTTCCTAACTTGTCTGAACTTGACTTGTCGGGAAATCTGCTTGGACCTCAAGGATTCCGTGTTGTCTGTTTGGCTCTCTGCGGGAATAAAACATTGATGACCCTCAATTTGGCAAATAATTTGGCAGACACTGACAGTTCTGTAAGTATTGCACACAACTCAACGTGGTAAAAGTGTATAGCCATAGGGATACACGGAGGGAGGTTGGATCCTGGTGTCCTGGGCACTGAAATCAGTGATTTATAACCTTAATCTACATGGCTGGGGTGCAAACGGGAGCCATGAGTGCTGCCAGAGTCATTTCCCAACCCCCATGTTAAATAACAGTGCAGCCTATGGTATAAACTTGAAAAAACCCTTGGGTAGGCACTTTCTTTTTTCTTGGACATCCCGGTCCTCACACGTGTGCATAACGTTTTTCGTGTCTGCTTCACAGAAATGGTGGCCACTTGGTTCTAGGTTAGAAAAATAGGAAATCCGATGGTGTTAACATTCAAATGAAACCTTTTTGGTAGAACTTCTGCATGGTGCTACTTATTTCTTAGGATTTTACAAAATAAAGTTTGGAATTTTGGTGCCTTTTCTCCACTTCAGCCCCTATTAAGAGTTATGTTAGCAGTTTTTGTATTTTGTAGTATGTTAATACTCATAGTTAGCCATATTACAACTACAGTCAACTCTCTTTAACCCTTCAAACCCTAAGATCAAAATTTGAATGATCATTTGTTGTCCCTATTCATTTCCTACAGAAGTAGTAGGGAGAAGTTGATAAAATATCAAGAAAGTGCATCTTGTGTGATCTGTCTTCTCATGACCGCTCTGTTTTACAAAGCATTGAAATTACAAGGAGAAATTTGATGCTCCGGATCGCTCTTAGGGCTTAAGGGGTTAAAGCGGGCACTGTAGGGACCTCCAGTTGGTGTCCTCATTAGTGAGAGTCTGTAATAGTGGGAGTCTATTTCAGTCAAACGACTATAATTTATTTTTGCCTGGGATTAAGAGCTGCTGTCCATATTATCAGGGTGTCCGTTATAGCAGAGTGTCCGCAAAGTAAGAGTTGACTGTAGCTGAGTATCAATGTTAATTTTTAGTCCCTTTTCTGCCAAAATGGTTTCAATACAGGAATGCATAGGGATCATGTTATCAAGTAACTGTTGCTTAGAGAGTCTGGATGTTTCTGGAAATGCTCTTGGAAATGACTATTTCTCACGCTGTGTTGGACCAGCACTGATGAAAAACAAGTCTTTGAAGACTCTGAAGTTTTCCAGTTGTGGCTCAACTGATGCTTCTGCTATTCTTGAAGCTCTGTGTGAGGGAAATGCAAGAATTGCAGTACTTGATGCCAGTAATAATCACTTTGGAGCTGCATTTGGTGATAGTTTGTCAAGAATCTTGCAGGTTATTGTAAACAAATTATTTTTAAGTCAGTCATCATTAATCTATGCTTAAACCTTAATGATCTCTCATCCATGCAGATCAAAGTGTACTATTAAAAGATCTACAGCAACTGTAGCAAAACTTGAGTGCCTATTCAAAATAACCCAATGATTTGTCTTCAAAACCATCACAACAGTCTAAACTCTAAAGTTAACCTCGTTGTATTTTATGTACCTTAATCCTTCTAACCTAAATATCGTTCATGTTGTAGTTTAGCAGTTTATTTATATTAATGTCTGCAGATTAGTAGAAACTGGTGGCTGTAAGTTGAATTTTCAAAATGAATATATGAATTGTATTAACCTTTACAGAAGGAGGGGTGCTGTTTACAGCATCTTGATGTTCATGGCACTAATTTAGGGGAAGAAGGAATGGCTTCTTTGCTAGCAGGAATACAACACAATGGCTCTCTTGTCAGTTTAAATGTTGCAGGAAACAAGGTAAATTTGGGTCCTCCAAAAATGCTCAGATTAGTGACTAGCCTGTCATTAAATTTTCTGTCTCAAAGAGGGAGGGGGGTCTAATTTAAATAGGGTGCTTATTGATATTTCAGTATCAATCAGGGTTCGTCTGTATGTTGAAAACTTAAGGTGAAGACACTTTAATTTCGGGAGTTTGATTTCAAGGCCTTCAAAGTACTTGAAATTTTGGCCTAATAAAGTGTACATTCAACGGTCTGATGCCTGTGATGCCCTTAAATGGCTCATTCACACAACAATGTTTGTGCTCATCCTAGCATTTAAGGTCAATTTGTTTTCTGTCGATAAAGATATCGTGTACATAATTATAGTTGAGTCTTCATGCCTTTCATTTTTAAATTTAATTTCAGGTTTCTGGTCTTTCGTTTTTAATGGACTTTTTGTTTAGCTGCATTTTCCATTCCAATCTAGAGGAGCTGGTCCTTAATGGCACCAAAGTTACTGATCAGCATGATGAGTGGAAACCATTAGGTCTGTCTAGCTTTGAGTGCTGTTAGCTCATCTTAGTAGTAATTTATCTTTATAGCGTTGTCTTAAAGTTACGTACACATAATCATTGATCAAGGAATGAAAAGCCATTCCATTTTTTTGTCTTGCATAACTGGCAAAGAGACCCCATTAAGTTAAATTGTGTAGAAGGGAACATTATACATTTGCGATGTTTTTATCGTTTTATTTTGACGTCTAATATAGATTCCCCTTTGATGGAAGGTAACTCCAGTGTTACCAAGTTACTTCTGTCTGGCTGTTCGCTGACTAACAAGGCATTGCAAACTTTATCAGAGAAGATTCCAGGAAAGCTCAAACGACTCTGTGACTTGGATCTCTCCAGCAATGACCAACTATCTTCCGAGTGTCTATCGAGTATTTGCACCTTGATATCTCTCGCAGGTCGGTGTTTCTTAGCAATCGTTTTTGCTTCTTGAGATAAATTAATTTGAGGGATCTTTACCGACCATACAAGCTCTGAAAAGGTCGGGTTATAAAAATGGAAGTGTAGACTTCTTAACTACCCGACCAAAAGATTAACGTAAACGTTGTGGTTCAATTTTATCCTTGGTTTAAATTTTCTTTTCTTTTAGTTTTTGGTATGGTAATATACGATAATGATTCTTAAACAAAAGAAAGTAAAAATTAAACCAAGAATAGAACTGAACCACAACATACACAGCAACTCAGGTCAGCCGTACGTATCTGCAGGTATGTACAATAAACTGTGATGAAGTTGACCAAAATTATGTGTAATCCCTCTATCCAACAGTAATGCCTGCATGGATCTGACCCCCCTGCCACACCCCCACCCCCACCCCCACCCCCTGTCAAAAAGCTGTTACCAACTGAAGATCCTCTTAATCAAGCATAATTTTAAACAAAAAACACACACATTTTTACATTATTTCAAACGGATAAACTTGTCTTAGCAAATAAACTGTTGAGGACTTCAAGTTTGACTAACATGGAAGACGCTTGATAGAGCTACTTGAAAGGTAAATTCATGGGGGAAATGCTGAAACTCGCCGGGAAAGGAGGACAATAAAGTCCCCAAAAGCTTTCAATGTGGTCAGTAACGACACCTATTTATTCATTTAATGTGCCCGGTATATAATTCTAATTATTGATTTACAGGTCCAAGTCATTTATCTACATTAGACTTTTCATTGAACAGTGCTGATGGTATAGCTGTGGACATGGAAAAGCTACCAGAACTTAAAAATTTGAAAACTTTGTTGCTAAAGAAATGCAGAATAACCCCGCCGAGTTTGGTGGATCTTTCTAAGTTCATCGCCTTGGGATCTCCAGATTCTTTGCAAATATCGGCCTTGACTTTGGATGGAATCAAACTTTCTGGTACTGACTCCTTGAGGAGCATTCTTGGATTGTCGGCGGATACATTTTTACCTATAATTCCCTGCGGCAGTCTTGAGTTGCTGTCTCTTACTGGCTGTGGATTAAATGACAGAGATGTCAAACCATTGATGTGTGCTATCGCCGCCGGAAATGGAGTGCTCATTAAAGAAGTAAGACTCTCTGCCAACCGGCTCACAGATACAGCAGTAGACTACTTGATAGATCAGTCACCTGGAACGACTCTTTCTCTTCAAACGCTTGATCTTTCTATAAACAAGGTCTGTTCTTCTAAGTTTTTTCCTATATACAGGCTAAGGGGGCCGTAGGTTTCACCCTTAAAAACTCGAAATAAAATTAGAGTTTGATCCGTGGTAAGAGTAACTCACAGATGATGATTTTTCTCCCATGAGGGTTTTCAAGGACGACTCTGGCCCACTGATACCCACTGTTAAAGTTCATATCAAGAGTAAAAGAAGAGAAACTCTCTTTGTGAAAGGATATTGATTGGAGCTGTGCAAGGCATAACCTTTCTTATTAATTAACCTAGTGGGCAATTTTTAAAAAAATCTAAAATCAAAGGTCAAACTTATTTGTTTGAGTGTATGTTTGTTTTGCCAATAAACTGACACGAGAAAGTTCTATTCTTTCCACTGTGGCAGCCAAGACAGGGACAACAGAAACACTATTATGGGATCTGTCTTTAACGTGAGGTCAGGGAGTCAACCAGATTCAAAAGCCTTGTTTTTATGGTGCTGTTTGCATACCATCTACCCTGTTACTCGAGAATATGATTGCTTTATTTTATTAGATCCGAAATGGTGGAGCCGAGAAACTAGCTGGAGCCATCTCATCCAACAAACTAAGAAACCTGAACAGTTTATCACTGGCAGACAACTGTATCGGAAAAGCTGGAATTCTAGCTTTGGTTGGCATTATTTGTCCAGCTTCACATCTGAGAATACTGAATCTCAGAAGTCAACAGCAGCCTTTAGGGGAAGAGGACATGGATGACATAATGGAACAAGTTGCCATGACTTTAGGTACATGTTTGCACAAGTAAGGCGAATTAAATTTGCTCTTTAGCTGACACTGACACAAATTCATATCGGTAAGCTGTGTGGTTATTCCACTTAGTGGGAGAGTATCTCCACCAATACCTTAGAAACGGCGACAGCTATATATTACATGGATGTAACAAAAAAGGTTGACACAGGAACCCAGTGAGAAATAACTACGTTCTTGAAAACCGAGCCTAGTGTGCTTTTTAGAACGAGGGGTGGTCACAAAAACATGTTTTGCGCGGTCATACGGCTCAAGCAACATGTCTAAAAACAACTCATGTAACACACTACACGAAAAGGTTGGATTTGAATGGTGTCAGTAAAGAATTTTGCCCACAGACTTGAAAGTTACAACAATTTCATAGCTTCTGTGACTCATTTTGGAAAAGAGTGATAACCTAGGCCGGGTTGTTTAAAGCTGCGTTAAGATAACTTTAGTGCGAAATTTGAATTCAGATGTGAAAGTTGAAACAGAAAGTTCAACAAAGAAAATTATCTGAGAAAATGCCTTTGAACGCTAGAAGAAAAGAAACCCGGATTATAGGTTAAACCTGAGTTAAATTTTACTGTGACACTCACAAAACCGTGCACACCAGAAATATTTGTGGAATGTTATGGTGTTGCGAGAAGTAAGCCAATAAGGCGCGAGATAACTAAACCGCAAACCGCAAACCGCAACGGTAATTAATTTGTGGTTTTGAGGTTTGCTTTCGTATCCTGAACTTTATTGTGATTGGGCAGTACACAATCAACACTCCTGAAATTTTTCAGGTGTTCATGGTTTTCTGAGTTTGACAGTAACTTGCGGTTAATCTTGTCGTTTTAATAAGCAGCATGTTGGGATTAGGATATATCTGTGTAATATATTCGTGTTTTGGTTGCTCCAGATCAGTGAAGAAACAGTAAAACAAACACTAGGATATATTTCAACTCTCTCTTGACTTCCGCATTTTGAAAATACTTTGTATAGCAGTGTGAGTTCCCTGATCTTGGCTTTCGCGTTCCCCCAGCAATTCCGCTAGTGTATTCACTGGCACGTTCGGCTCAGGCAACGACTCTTTTTCAAAGTGAGCTATAGCGGCTGTGACAGTGAGAGAGTTAACGGAGACAGTTAAGACATAAGATGTATTGTGTCCACTAATTTGCAGGATTTGATTTGCAAAACAGTGAAGGATCCGCACCAGACTGTAGTCATCTTCCATCAAACCTGTCAATCAACCTGACAGGGCTTGGCGGTGAACCTGGTGAACTGGGACCGAAACTGGACAGTCAGGCGATATTGACAGATTACAGCTCAAAGCACCGCAGAACCTTAACACTGCAAGACGCGCTCAAGATGTCAGCGGTATTGACCCACCAAAAACTGGACTCTACAGAGATGAGTCAAAGAGATTGGAACCTAGTTATCAGTGCCGACAAAGACGCACCTGCCTGGCTGCAGCTTGCGTCACAGAGAGAATGCGCAGTTTATGTCAGTAACCTACCACTGAGTGTAACTGCCGAGAAGCTGGAAGGGTTGTTAGATAATGATGCTGAGTGTAATGTCAAGGAAGTGTATCTACTTAAGGTTGGTATTCACGGCTACGCGTCTGGGGTGGGTTTAGCTTTCGTTTGATTTATTTGAAAGTACGTTCGAGGCTTTCCACTGAGTCACTGAGTCTATAAGTCAGTCACTGTCAGTTATTCAGACCCCACAGACTTGGTACATCAAGATGTCAAAAAAAAAAAATGCTGAAATAACCTTTTTATTGTACATACCGGCTCCCTCTGAAGAAGGGTTACGAATTTTGAAAGTTGGCACTTTTCGTCCGTGAATACTAAACCATTTTAAGCTGTCAAATAATGAGTCAGTCTCAGTCATGCCAAGCCAGTAGTCGGGTAGGCAGGCTGTTGGTGAGTCCGATCTTCGGTCAGTCAAGTCAGTCGACCAATCAGTCGGTCAGACAGAGCAGGTCAGACAAACAGTTAGTCATTCAAAGTAGTCAGTAAGACGGACAGTAAGTCAGTCAGTCAGTCAGACAGACGTTATGTTAGTTAGACAGTCAGCAGTTCAGTCAGCCAGGCAGTCGGTCAGTCATATAGTCGGGTAGTCAAATAGCAAATCAAATCAAATATCTAGTAAGGCAGTTAAGCAATCTGTCAGTCACTAGTGAAGTCTATCGTCGTTTCAATCGGTTAGTCAACCTTCCAGTCATCCAGCCAATCAATTAGCCTAATAGTCTGATATTCAGTGGTCAGTTTTCTGTGTACCCTTCCGTTGCAATTTTGATTCATATACGGGAACTCACTACAAATAATATGGTATCTGAAGTTGTTGGCGTATTTAATTTGTTCTGTAATCGCGTTTCTGGCTCTTTAGGATCAAGTTTTAAGAAAGCCAAATGGTTTGGCTTGGGTCCTTTTTACGGACATCACTTCAGTGCAAAGAGCTGTTGATTACTACAACTCTGGTCAGGCTGTCATGTACGGAACACCATTTGTCATTTCCACCATATATGTTCATATTCTAGCCGCTGGCTCTGAAGAAAATGTAAAGAATAAAGCAACGTAAGTGATTTTAATGGTCATATTTTTTCAGGTCCTTCGATGTATTATTATTATCATCATCATCATCATCATGATCATCATCATCATCATCATCATCATCATCATCATCATTATTCTTAGTAGCAGTAACCAAAGGTTAGGGAGTTGCGGGCGAAGAAGTAGGTTTAGCTTAAACGTGCGATTGATGTTGAGAACCGCTTTCATAATTGTGTACGTTAATCGAAGAAAGCCCTTTTAGTTTCAGTGTCAACAAAAGACCTCAAAAGCAATTACGGCGGATCATGAACGTGGGAAATGTATTGAACAACACAGTAAACAAGACTCGTATTGAATTCAACGATCTATTTAGGGTGGCTTAGATACAATTAGCCTGCGGACTGTTATAAGCGAGGAGAGAAGGCTGTATTCGCAGGCAAAGGTACAATAAAAATAGTAGTGCGAGACACAAACAACGATCAGCGTGGAATGTATACAGTCATGTCTCCGTGAAGGATTATTATTCTATCGGATATTCAATCCGTGTTCATGATCAATGACCAAAGGTCATCGAAATGTTATAGAAAATCACGAAGAGACTTACTGACGCTTTCAGATGACAAGCAATGTAACATGCTTAGAAACGTATAGAAATTTATAACAAAATTCAGATATAACGCACACTCTGATTGGTTGAAAAAACATGGTTTTTAAGAGTATAAAACACGGAGCTAAAGCTGTCACTCCATCTGAAGATCACACCATGCCGCGGTGGTTTTCAAGACCAAAGTTTCGCATTTCAGGGTTAAAAATACACCGTTTAAAGCCACAAATTGAAGGGAAAAGTTCAAGTGAATGCTCAGTTTTCTTCTTGTCGACAAGGAAAGCTTTTGGTTACGAATCGTCCTGCAAGGAATTCAGCGATGTTTTCTTCACGGGAGAGCGTAAAATGTCCTGTTTTAAATTCATTCTAAGGCAGCGAAATTTTTGAAAACTTTTCATGTACATTTTTTAGTCTACGTCTTTAAAAGGGAATTTATGTATGTATAAATGTTTCACAAACGTTTTATGAATTTTGTCATCGACACTAAAGAAAAATAACAAAATACACCCCGATTTGAGATGGACTTTGTGTTAGATTTCGCTATGTGCTCATCCGATTTTACTTGCTTTTAGATTAACTTCTTAGCTTTGAATAAAAAGTTTTAAAAAATTCATTCATGGCATTAGCTCAAAATACGATCGCAAGACTAGAGCATAACTTATGCGAAGACGTGGGCGAATTTTATAGAATTTTTACTTACAGGTACAGTTTTTAAACACTCTTCGTTACGAAGCTGAAGCAGTTTGTTTTCGAACTGTCATGTTAATGACGTCCTGGTTCTAATTGGCCGCAATTCGCCCGTTTTAAAAGCACTTTTTACCTTTAGAAACTGATTTTTCGACGTAAAAAGCACATTTCTTCTGCATTCATTCACAGAACGTCTCGCTTGTTTCACTTTGTGAATAGTGATAGGGTTGATATTTTGACTGCCTTTGTCTTATTCAACCAATCAAATCATTTGCCCATTCTAAAATGGATCGTGATTGGCTAATTAAGCGTGTTTTATGAGAGTGTAGAACGTGCTGAGGACAATCTGGTTCGCTTTGAAAATTAAGTTGGTTTTGAAAATTAGAAAGCGATGCGTGGGCAATTTAACGGATTCTTTATCATAAAACAAATAAGGAAGGCTTGACTGTGCTCTGTTCTGTTGTAAAGAACTAAGGAAGTGGCTATAGTACTCATGAAGTAGCCAGAGAAAAGAGGTCGTTTCCCCCTACGCTTCCTGCGTGCTTCACAACAGAACAGAACACAGTCAAGGCTTCTTTATTTGTTAAATAAAAACCATGCACTGTAGCGTAACCTGGATAAGATTAATTGCAATACTTGTATCTTACCGAAGACTCGTCCTGCACCAAGTTGAGATCAAGCTCTACTTTCATTTACCTTGGTAAATAGGTTTCCAGCCGGTAAAGTTAATCGAAAAGCCTTGCATTTAGTACATAACGTATATACCTGAATTTAGTACGTGCATTTTCGAATCGAACAAATATAGTTGCATTCCTTGCATTTGCATTCACTCGATAACCGTGACATCAGGTAGACCTTAAACTCAACACCAAGGCCTTCTCGGCCACATACCATGCATATTAGACTGATTTAGCATCGGGACCCAGCCTTCATTTAGGACGGCGCGCCGGGTCAAAGGCCTTGGTACCAAGTTAAATTCCCGCGTCCTGAGACTGTGGCGTCGCGTTGCGAACGTGGAATTGAGTATTTCGGCGTCTTGTCGAGAACGGCGAGTTCAGCAATGGTAAATGCACCGATAAAGTGAGTGTTATAATTAACTTGTGTTATAGAACAGATTTTCAGCCCTTTGAAATGTTATTTCATTACCTTTTGACGTTGTGTTTCAACTTTTCGACTTTGCATTCCAGTTCTTTAAGGAGAATTGATTCCATCTTTTGGCTATTTGAAGAGGCAGTATAGAGCCCGGTTTTGCTAAATCAAATAAGCCCCCCTCTGAAATAAGCCTTCACTCTCAATTAGCCCCTCTCCCCTCAAACGTGCTCTAAATAAATAATCCCCCTTGGTCTTAATAGATTATTTACAGTAGCTTCAAATATTTTTTCTTGACATTTATTCTCATCATTGTTTATGATGTTATGAGTGAATAAAAGTTTAAATATTTGGAATGGGTACTATTTGTATATTTTCGAAGCTTAATAAATATATCAATACCATTACTAGTAAAGTTGTTGTCTCTAAGTGTTCTAAGTTGCCGATTGTCTGGACAGAAACTGCTACACTTGAATGATTTCCCAAGCAAGGGGTAGGAAAACAACACTGATTGCAAACATCTTAAAAGTTAAATTACGTTAGCCTTAACTTCAATGCATGGACACATTTGTGGCCGTTGTAAACTTCACGCTGCTTATTCTTGGGTTGAGCCATCTTGCACAAGGTACCTTCCACGAAGCCGAATCAATTTGCTAGTGGTGCTCCACGGGAATGGATACTTTGAAAAGGTCGGTTCCAAGAGTTTAAACGGTGTTAGTGTTCCGTCCGGTAAACAAAGGCTAATACGTTATTAAAAATCAGACATAACTCTGTTGGATTTCTTCCAAACCTCAGCGCCATATGACTGTATCTGCAAGGAAAAGAAAGCCTTTTTAGCAAAATGCAAAGACCTTCCATACCAGAGCAGACCGTCCTCTGCCAGCAAACAAATCTATCGGGAAATTTTAATGTGCGGAGCAGTACACCAAGGTCAGATTTGTCAAATCTTTACTCGATTTTACATTACTTTACATCCCAGCCATCCAAGACAAAGTTGTCATACTCCCGATGCGGAAATATTTCTCTTGAATAGTTTTCTTTATAAAGAACCGTAAATTCCACATCATCAGTGGTATCTTCGAAGTAAGAAACCAGTAAAACGTCTCGATCACTTTGAAGGTCACAGGCTGCAGCCATGTTTACAAATATGCGTCCGCGGAAGTCCGCGTCCGCCTTTTGTATTTTGCGCTAAATCCATTGCCTGCGTCGCAGACGCTCTAAACCTTCTGTATGGAGCGGACTATACAAATGGTTTAGACGAGTGCGTGGGCCGGCTGCAACGTAGGCTATAAATCCAGAGTATCAGGTGACGTCGGGTCCAGTACTCCCGTCCTTGATAACCGCCAATCAACGGCGCGTCCTAATGTTAGTCGTTACGTCCTGGTGCTAAATCAGTCTTAGTACGCAGAACACGGTCATCCCAAGAATGTGGTTTTGAAAAAACCTCCCTATACCGTCTATACCATATTTTCCCGTGCATATAGCTTTCTGGTTCAGTCAACTCCTGTAAATTTCTTTTTGCAGAAATCGAGCATGAACTAGTTTGACCGCACTCATTTGTTCTAGTTTAGCCTTTGAAAAGAAGAGGTAGTCAATTGTTCCTAATTTCAGTTGCTTCATGTTTTCCTCATAATCTTTTTATGTCAGGAAAGAGATGGACCAACGAGCAGAAGATCGTAAGGCGGATCGAACTGCGAATGCGGAACTAGTTCAATCAAATTACAAAGAAAGTCTAGCACGTCACGAGTATTCTGCCCAGCATCCTGCGTACGCAGATGGTCGTGTTTGGTGAGGACTGGTAAAGGCAACTATCAAACGGTCGTGTGAAAATTGAGTGTTATTGTTTTCTTTTTTTAGGTTTAATTTTTAATTTTTTTCACAAAGAAAACAAGGCTGGACTGGTTTTGTCGACGTTTTTTGTGATTTTTCCTTTAACTTAGTCAGCAGTAGCACAAGCTTGTTTTGTAAGCGTATATTTGGCCACAAGTCTTGTACATTCTCTATACCTTTTCGAAGATTTCCTGTGGGTTTTCCTCAAATTCGAAAGTTTTAAAACCTGAGCCACTTTCAGAGAAGGTGTGTAGTGTGATGTAGTCGAAAGAATTTTTCGGCGGAGTAGTTATCTTTCGAAAATATTTTTGAAAAAAAGATTTCATGTTTTATAGATCCTATATAACTGATACTTCGTTGATCTTACTATCTTTTAATAAAGAGAACGTTTATACTTGTATTTATTGTAAAGTTAATGAATAAATCGCCTGTGGTGTATTCTCAGTACAATTGGCTGGGACCTTCTTTACGCACGTCTCTTCACTTCCGGGCAATCTTAGGTCAGGGTTATGTACACTGGTGGCTCACGTAACCGCTTTTAAAAAAGAAAAAGCAATTGTAGAAGTTGCGTATCTAATGTAGCGTTTTCGATATTGTGCCTAAAGTTACGTTAGTAAAGAAAGCAAGGCGTGATCTTGTTTTTTTACAACGTAAAGATTCAATTTCACCGGCAGAAGCTGTTTAAACAGTTGAAACATTTTTCATCAGTTTGTTGTACGCGGCAGGTAGAAAAGCTTTTACTTGCGAAAGCGCTTTACTTAATAAACAAGTTCAATGTTCAGAGAAACTCTTTGATTTTATTCATGCCTTTTTTTTCTTCTTCTTCCTCTTCTTTTATCATTGTCTACTATCATATTGAAATTTTTTTTCGCTATATACTCATCCCATGAGATATTGTTGGCAGCCGTGCTAAGTTGATTCTCTCTCTCTCTTTCTTTTTGTTTTAAGGATGACTAATTTAATGTGCAAACACAATTTTTCACAAAAATATACTACCAGTGACTTTAATAACTTGACAACAAAGGAATCAATTGACACCGCTTAAAAAAGTTTATACAAGACTTAATGCTTATTTTTGCGATCCTCAAATATCTCTGGAACAGATGTTTAGCTGTACAAATAGGACGTAACCGACGCCTTTGAAGCTGTCCAATCGATCGATGAAGACGGTAAAAGAATTCCTATTACCGCTCGCAAAGAAAATCTTTTTAAGGAGCTCCGCTTTAGTTGAGTGGTGATTAGCAAATAGTATTCCTTTTCATACTCGTGTAACAACGGCCCTCGGCGCTTATTACACGATAAATAACGGTTTGGAACCTGACGAAGCTTCACTTTGCAGCTGATTTCATTGAAGCAGGTTTCCTGGCGATCTTCTGCGGCTGCTGCGATGTTCTGGTTCATAATTCTGTCGTTATCGGTGGGAGGAATCTTTTCCTTTAATCCTGAAGGTTTGTAATCTTGGCATGACCATGTTATTCTCTGTGATTCAACATACTTTTCTATTGTTTTTATTTGTTTTCGTTCTCAAAACCTAGTAACTGTCCTTTGAAAAAGTCTTTTAACTTAGTTGTACTAATACTAAGGGGTCAAATTTCAACATACGTTAAGAAAAGTGACAGGCAAGGAGAAACGGGTAATGTTGGGGGAATCTCTGTTATCGGATACATTAACCAGTCATTTCTTAAAGACTGCAGGAATTAATTAAATACTTTATAGCTAGTTCTCATTAAGTTACAAGTCGATTAAAATACTGTTTATATTTTAATTAAGCTTAGATTTAGCAACACAGCGTTTGCAGCTAACCCTCGGTTATTTTTGACGATCCAGTGCAACAAAAAAGTGCAAACAAAGTTTATTAAATTTATTCTAGTCCTCTGTAGTAGTAAATGAGAAGTGAACGTTGGTGCAGCGTTTTGTGTGTTAACACTATTCCCAATCTTTTTCTCCCCTCAGAAAATAATCTCTTTGAAGGTGACATGATATTATCGAACGAGCAGAGACTTCAAATTCTCGGTGGATCTGAGACGCGTGGTGCTCACTTCCTGTTCCGCTGGCCAAATGGAGTGGTGCCATATACCATCGACTGGGTTCTTGGTAGAAATGCTTAGCAATTATTCCATGAGGCTGAGTATGATACGAACAATTATGCAGATCAAGGAGACTATTATCCACTGAAACGAAGGCCGAGGTGGATAACAGCCTCCGAGATCTACAAATTCTACACATCATACAAAAGCGACTGCGACTGTTGAATCTGTTGTAAGATTCGACTGTGTGTAACAACTATCAGAGATCCACAAGTTTGTCTTTTCATTACGAACTCAATTGGTCATCACTGTAAGGGCGAAGAACACCAATGGATCATCTTTCACTTTTTTATAAGATCCATTATAATTAAGTCGCTTTGCCCTTTCCTATAGTGAATTATCTCTTAACACCTCCTGCACCAGGAAGTCCTGTCTTTGTCCGTGTTTAAGACCATACGGTTCGGTTAACCTGTGCTATTGGCAATTATCTGATTAAAGATCTTCGAATCAGCTGTGAACGTCATTTTTTTAGTTCACTCGGGAATAAACAGCCAGTTGGCCACGCCTGGAAACGAGGTTGATCGTGGTATGTTGTTCATGTAGCCTCATTTCCAATCAAATATACCATTTATCATCCTCGTTTCCATTCAAATATACCATTGATCATCCTCGTTTCCATTCAAATATACCATCGAGTGGACGGCATATTACTCGCATCTTCCAAATTTGGACAGCGCCGGTTTGTTATGAAGAATTAGCCGGAGATCGGTGCCAATCAGAAACGGTGAGAAACTTTGAATGAATAATAATACCTGTTATTGACATGAACGCAAAGCTCACGGGTGACTGGTAAATTAGCCATTTAGATAACCCCTAAATATTTAACGTAATTGAACATCAAAAATCTAATCGGTGTTAGAAAAGAAAGACGTAACGTCATATTTACTCTTAGCGTCTTTAATATAGCAAGGGAAGTTGAAGCAAAAGCAGCTATTGCAGCAGCTATCAAGGAATGGTCAAGCACGACCTGTATCAAGTTTAAGGAAAGAACTAATGAGTCTGGATACGTGACTTTCCGTTTTGGAACTGGGTATGTGAAGTTTTAAGTAGTTATTCATTTAGTATCCAGGGGCGTAGCCAGCTTTTCGACTAGTAGTAGGCCTGGCTGACTTTCTTTTCCACATATCCTGAATATTGCACGCATGACTAGTAATTTATTCTCCCTGGGAGCGCCTACTCCCCAACGCCCCAAGGTTGGGATGAGTTATGGGAAGAGGTGAGGCCGGAGGCGGGAAGGGACCGGAGCTAAAGGCGTCAGAGAGTCCCATCGCTGCGGAGAGGTGGGTGGGGCGACAAACTAGGTGTCTGGTGTCCGTTTTAACGAAGAGAGGAATAAACAGCATGAAAAAAGGCCAGTTTATACTAAACTCACAAATATATGCACAACGAGATCCCTCGCGGATCCACAGATGCGCCGGAATTTAAGTGCACGGGTCTCACGAGCACAGGGAGCGTTTGTGCGTGTCGGCCCCCAATGAAAATAGTACGCACTGACCTCGCCAACACTTTGAGCTCTTAAGCTTTTTAGCTCACCCCAACGACGCATAATTTATTACGAGCGGCAGGGTGATCAAACTAAAAATTTGTAGGCGCGGGCCTACAGGTGTATGGGCTGGCTACGCCCCTGGTATCAGTCTAATTTAAAGATATTCTCAGACTTTGTTGCTTATCTTGAACTGCTTGTTATGCTCATGAGATCTATAAGCGAGGTACATACAATACTGAAACGTTAAAATAAGTGAATTGCATTAGCAATGGCTTTGTGATTGGCTCAATCACAGTGCATTTTCCTCACAGTTAATCATTTTACCGCGCTTTATAGCCTTCCATCAAGTCGATACGTGAAGGTGTAAGAAGGTGTCATCGGACTTCGGGTTTCATGAAGTCCGTTGTTTCATTCAAGCAAATTTTTCTTGATTTTCCTTTTATTTAAGTGCCATCGATTGGGTTTATCTTGGAACTTGCGCTCTTGAGCTAAATGGCAAAACGGTATTAGTTTTGGCTTGCTTGCTTCTCTCTATAAGTGCTTTTCTAGAAAAAACAACAACGACAGCAACAACAACTTCGGCTAATTCAGTCAATTTTGCGGCAGGTAACGGCATCAGGACAAACTCGAGACTTTAAATCGGACGTGATCATAACGAGAACTAAACTACTTCATCAGCTGAAGCACAAATCAAATAGTCCATCATTGGACACCTAAATGTACGGCCTCCAATTGAACTATTAAGTTAAAGGAGTCAAAACTATCATTTGAACTGAACAAGGTCATAAGAAAAGTCAGCATATATTTTTTTAACTTTTCGCTCGTAATCAGACCAACGCTCTGGCAACTGGGCTGACACTTCGGAACGACCTTCACACGATTTTATTTCATAACGCATGTTTCCTTGTGTTTCCAGCTTATTTTATTGCAATATTATTTGTTTTTCCATTTTTTAATAGCTGCTCAGCCGATGTTGGTTATCAAGGAAGACAACAGTACGTTAATCTTGCTACAGGTTGTTGGCACATGGGAACTGTAGCTCATGAAATAGGTGGGAAGCATACGTACAAAGACTGATTATTTATGCTCAAAGAAATGACTGAGGAACTTACCAAGTATCATTAACTGTCATGCGCATTTGAACATTTTTATGGAAAACTGGGCACTATAAATGTATCATTATGATTTATTATTATTAAGCCCAAGTTTTCATCTTATGTGGCTACTCGAACATAGTCATTCGTTGTACCGATTTCAAGTTAAAAAACTTGAAATTTTGGCATTGAAAAATAAAAGAACTCACAGAAAGTACAGTTCTATTAGGTTACTATGAAGCCCTTGTATATCGTTGAAAGAGGGCTTAACTGCAAAGCGGGAGGTCGCAGGTTTGATCCCCTGGACTGGACCAATACTCAGGGTCTTTAACTTAGAAATGACGGTACTGGTGTTGCCCCGCAAACAGCCAGACCTACGCGTGGCTCTGTTGACCGCGTAGAAATGGCGGTCCCATTTCCAGTAGGAGACTTAAAAAACAGCGTCCTCGTTTATTAATCTCGTCCTAAGTGACTTCACATTAAGACCTTAACAGCTAGTTCCTTGCCACATTTATTTTTAACTTTAAACGGCATGTTGTTGTTGTTGTTGTTTTTTTCTGCAGGTCATGCTCTTGGCTTCTTTCACGAGCAGTCACGGCCTGATCGGGACAAATTTGTGCGAGTGTTGTGGTATAACATCCAACAAGGTCATCCTTAGATTTCTTTCCACTTGCAGATTACCTGGTAGATGCAGAGGTTTCGACTTCCATATATTTTGACAGCGCCCACCCTTTTGTTTTTACCCTATTGATATTCCCGCAAACTTCGTATGAAAATTTTAGAACATTAATACGATAGGCAGATACAAGCACACGTTAGAGGGATAATGAAGACATTTTTTCAATTCATTTTCATTTTATTTTTTCCATTCCATTATAAATAGTAAAAGATAAATCACAGACAAACTTCAGAGCTTGAGCTCTAGAAAGTTTGCAACACTTGATAAAGTACAGTAAAGATAATTATATTTTGATAAGTTTGTAACAAAAAGAAGAAAGAATGAAGAATGGAAAGGAGACGGGCACATCTAGGTCTACTAATATTGTGCCACTAAAATAACGTAATATTAGGAAACTATTTTTGTAGACATTTTTTGTAGCAGATAGGATATTTCGCTCTAATAACCCACCTCAGAAATAATCCTACATGAATTCAAAGAAAACATTTAAATTTATATGTCGTTTGTAAAAAGGGTAGTATTTAGATTGTGCTTAATGACTCAGATACTGCGGCGAACATAATCAATGGTTGTTAATAATAATAATAATAATAACATAATTTATATAGCGCTAACTCCACTAATTGACCAAAGCGCTTAAAACAAACTTGAAATTCCGGCTTTGAATAAGTGATAAAAGCTCATAAAAGAACTCAAATAGTACACTCGCGGCATTGGAGTTCATGCCACGATGCTTTTTCTAGGTAGTAGGAGGAGCTTGCCTACCTTACTCTGTCAAAATACTGTTTACTAGATAGAGAAGATGGAGATGCGTGACATCATATTATCCATTTTCTTATAGGTCGAGGATATAACTTCATGAAAGTTAAGTACATTGATTCGCGGGGTGAACCATATGACTACGATTCTCTCATGCATTACGGTAAAACCTTCTTCAGTAAAAATGGCAAACCAGCCTTGCTTCCACGGAAGAAAGGGGTAAGACAGCTGTAAGGCTTAACTAGACTAAATACTTTCTGGTAAATTTCTACTTATTTCTTACTAAAATATTCACTCTTGCCCTTTCCGGGCCCTTTCTCTGGTTTTCTAATATTTTGCTATGAATATACAAGAATTATCGGTCTATCATGTTTGCCTCATAAGATGTCGCGGGCGAAGACTTTACTGTGTCACTGCTCTTTGCCATCAGTCGTAGAAAATAGTTTTGTCGCTATAGACTTGCAGAGTGTCTCTGAAGAGTTTCGAGTGATTATATGCTGTTTATCTTGCCGAGTTCAACTCCTTAGGCCGTCAAATCCAAGATACACATGAAGCTAGCATCTGCGCTTTTTGAAAAACGCGGAATGTATTAAAGTGATCTTAACAGACCCTTTCTTGTTTTAGATTGAGTTTGGTCAAAGAGAAAGAGTGAGCAACGGAGATGCTCGTCAAATGAACAAGATGTATAGCTGCTTTTAGACAGCCTTCTTTGGCTTGTAAAATTAAGCCTGTCAGTAAGTGAAATAAAACTGAAAGCATCACGATATATTATCTCAATACTTTATTCCATGGATCAGCGATGTATGTGCCAAACTTTCTTGAAATTATTCTCTACTGGGGGAAAATTATCCAGTTCCCTATCCGTTTGTCTATTATAGCATCCTTAATTGCAAAACAATAGACTCTTAGCCCGCGTCAATATATAAGGTGCGGTTACACTAGACCTTTCGCACAAAGCTCCCCTCCGGGTGAGGACGAAACATGGAACTGGGGTTCGTGGAACCCCCATTTTGGACCGGATCCATGGACCGCCTATTACGGACCGGGTCGATAGATACTTTTTAAAGTAGTTTAAGAAGGAGTCGAAAGGAGGAATGAACAATAAACAAGGCCCAATAACTCAGTATAACGTGACATAATAAGGCCGGTTTCAACCTACATAAATAGAACAAAATAAGGTATGGAGGTTTTGAGCACTACTATTTACTCCTACGTGGATAATGCTGCAGGATACATGTATGCTTACAGCCAGGCTGTACGACTCTAGTGATGTAATCTGCTCTGTTCAGCTTGGTGGATATCTGACCGTAATAGTCAATAAAGACAAAAATATTGCCTTGTATGCTTAAAAACTCGTTGCATTGGAAAATGGGGAAAAATTCAATTTCTTTTTCTTATAAACCACTTTCGAGTGTTGTTTTTCCTGGCATGCCTGACACTCGAAGCTGAAATTACATGTTGATAGCAGCCGTTGATTGATGCGATATTCTGTTTCACTTTAGCAAACCGCTATTAATGTGAAAAATCACAAAGCCATAGGACGTGACCTTTTCGTCTGTTTTTTTCCGAATATGTGATTGCATGTAGCAAAACTTTTTCATGTTTTGACAGTTTTTGTAATTTTCAGGATTCATGTGAATACATTTATTACTAGTTATAGCTATCGCTAAGTGCCAAGGAGCAAAGATTTTACCTATACGCACACGCTGTTCAATTTGCTTGGAAATGTCACAAATTACCGTAATTATCGAAAAACGGTTTGAACGCAATTCGATTGCATAAGCGAAAATTACCTTGAACATAGTGAACTAAACTGTTCTACTGCATAAAGAATTTGAAATCCCGACTTAATATAGCATATTTTTCGAGCTATTGAAATTTGTGTTTTTGTCTGAAGTTGCGCAGAAGTCATTTTGCGTAAAATTTAGAATTCTTATAAGCGAACTTAGAATCCTCGAAAAAACATATTCATCCACGAATATTCAACGTACAGATTCATATTTGGTCCGGCTTATTCAAAGCTTAGGAAGTCTACTTTTCAGAAAAGACAAAAAAAAAGATAGTAGTACGCCTATGAAGGCTTCCGAATTATTTTGCTTCAAAGACAATAAATTTTGCGGCATTGCTATTTTTTCTTAGCGGAAGGCAATAAAAAAACATCCAGCGGGAACATGCGACAGTAGCCTACCACGCAAGCGTTTTTAGGGGAGCTCGTTTTTCATCCCTCCCCACAAACGCCTGCTCAACGGAAGACAACATTCCTTTCCCATGCTTAGCCAATCACATTGTACTTTTCAAATTCTGGAAAGTTGACATTGACCGCAAGGTAATCTGATAATCACTCGATCTGCATGAAACACTGGAAAGATTTTCTAACCTCCCATAAATGTTAGATTCAGAGCGGCAAAAATAAGATTGAATCAAATTTTAGAATACTCCATGCACTTCATAACCTTAACGAAGGAAGGAAAAAAACGAAAACGGTAACTGTAGGGTCACGTTTTAGTCGCGTTTAGCCTGTCAACACTTTATTGCACAACTGTTTATTGGTCGCTTACCACGCAAATAAAACAATGGGAAAGGAATGTTTCCGGCTGAGCAGGTGTTTGTGGGGAGGGATGAAAAACGAGCTCCCCTAAAACGCCTGCGTGGGAGGCTAATGCGACAGCCATTCGCGTATGATGCAAATGATACAAATGAATCCACCCGACGATTGGTTGAAGACGGGATGAGCACGGGACTCACAAACACGCGCACGGCTCGTGGATTCTCCGTTCTGTATCACGTGTTCACTCGAAAACAATGCATTCTCTGTTCTGCATTACTTCATAAAAGTTACCTTAAGGCTATCTATGTTAGATCGATTCGAGATTCATTCCGGAGGGTGTAATTTGGAGGTTGCAGTTTAGAATTTGAAAAGAAGTTAAATTTCCTAAATGGTTTACAGATCTTCCCGAGCCCCTAAAACAGGAAATTACAATGATGTTTTGGTGATATGTTCTTGACAGGGTTACGCAGAACCGAAAATTTCAAATCTCAGTTCCATTAATCGATCCTACAGTTCTAGACCCTTCAAGGCAAGAAGGATAGTTTTAAATAATTGTTTGGAGGGAGTTAGATTTCGCATCCCTCTTTATGCTGGAGGTGAGTTTTGAATTGAATGACTGGCCATAGTACCACACTGCACTATAAATCAGAAGACTGGTTCTCCTCGTATTTGAATAATCGTATTTAATCGACCCACATGGTACCCCACATATCAAACATAGCCAACGTAAGTTGCGGTGTTCCCCAAGGATTTATCCTTGGCCCATTGCGTTTTTATTGTATGTTAATGACATACGACAGTGCTCCAATAAACTTAAGTTTTATCTCTTGGCAGATGATGGGTAATTTAGCTGAACTCACACAAAATATAAGCCTTTAAACAGAAATGGATTTGCGCCGATTTGAGCTTTATGCCCCTGTACATTTTTAGGAATCCTTCAAAGAAACAAAAAATCTGGTGAATCCATGGGAAAATTAAAATTCAATGCATTTTAATTTATAGATTCCGAAGATATACTCATTAGGGCCATTTATACGAGGAAAAATAAGACGCGTCTTAAAAAAGACGCGAACTTTCCGTATAAACGGCACATTTCGTCTAAAATAAGACGCGGCTTAGCTAAGACGCGTCTTATTAGATAAGACATGCTCGTATAAATGGTACAGTTCGCGTCTTATGTAAGACGCGTCTTATTTTTCCTCGTATAAATGGCCCTATTATCTTTTTTCAGCTAACCCTCCTACACAACTGGCAAAGTTTACAAGACGGGAATTTACTGGCTTTTAAACTTGAGTGCGACGTTCAGTGTCCAACAAGTCTTATTTTCTTTTTTGTTTGTTTTGTTTAGCCGTGTTGTGCTTGATATACAATGAATCTTTAACTAACTATAATTTCTTTATAGCCAGGAATTATACTTGAAAAGAGAATATGAAAAATTAAGTTCAAAACAAACCCTATATACCAGTATCGGTAAAGATAAGCAATGGCAAATAGAATTTTGCTTTAACTTAAAAAGGTAGAGTCTACTTTCTTTGTGGAAACATCGTGCTGTCAGAAAAAAATTGAAGCTCGCAAAAAAAATATAGTGCGTTGAGGTGTTACTCACGGTCAATGTGCATTATAAATAAACTCAGACAGTCATTCAATTTTAATTTTCTTTTTGCAGAAACAATCTTCTCCATAACTTTGCATAGCAATTTGTCCCCAGCTTTTAAAAAACTTTTTAAAGTCTGCAAAATGGTCGTGGCAAGTGACAAGAGTTTTTTTCGCTTAAATCAACCAGTCTTGTTGATTCCTTTGACATTTGACGTGTTTGTCGATCCGTTCGATTGACCCCGTTTCAATTCTTCAATGGCCTGAGCGGTGTGGTTAAAACACCTGTCAACGTGTTTCCTTGTTTGGTTGATTTGCATAAGCAAGTCTGAGATCAATGAAGATTTTGCGTGACGTACACTTTATATGTCTACTTTCAAGTAAGCAAGAAACTTTGGCTCAATCCCGATGCTTCGCATAATTTTGATCCTGAATGGACTCGGAAAAATTTTATTCCTACGACCGCAATGATAATATATTTTATAGGTAAGTACGCCTGTCTATTGGGGCTACTTAATATTGCTTCTTAGGTTGAGCTGCCCTGCCAACTTCGAGTTGTGATGAAGTAGTGTAAAAGGTGGTGTGCTGTGTGTTCGAGTTTACACTGCAACTAACACAACATTATAGTTAAGTGTATAAAGCAAATCTTTTCATATTTTTTTACTGATTCCCTGATTTTGCTTGAGTAAAGTAGTTTATCTCCCTTAAAGCAAATACTGAGCCACGATTAATACGGTGCTAGCAATCGCACATGAAAGTAAACGCCGATATAAAGTCCATCCCAGTGCTCTCGTTTGTAAAATAATGATAACATTATTAATAGCAGGTTTGTCTTTTGATTCAAGCATAGCCGATAAATCTAAATTCAATCGATACATAATTTGAAGGATATGCGGTGAACTGTCTAGAGAACAGGGAAAGGCATGTTAATTGGCAAGTTGTACTTCCAAAACAAACAATACACCACGTGTTCAGTTCCGGCTCATGACAAATGGCTCTTCGGTAACAATTTGTTTCAGAATATTGAATTATGAGTTTTTTTTAATTTTTGTATTTCTCTCCAGTTTTAGCATCGAGATCCTATTTCCAGGTTCTTCTTCATAATATATGGTTGCTGCTGTAATTCAATTGAGAACAAATTTTGCTAAAAAGGAATACAGTCTACATTTTTCAGAACAAGGTTTTTCAAAAAGCGAGCTTAATGTGTAATGAATAAAAAATGATTCTTTTTTGTAGAGATTTGACGGAGAGAAATTATCGTACAGACGATATTTAGCCTTCTTTGAAAAAAACCTTTTTTGAACTCCTCGCATTTCAATGCTTTATATAATTCAAGAGGCCCGTAGGGACACACACTGTGGTGGATAGGGAAGTGTGTTGTTTCCTGGGGCAGAATGTTTGGAATTTCGTTTTTGAAATGAACCACCAGAATTCAAGGTCAACAAAGAAGACAAGCGAATAACAGTATTCAAATGCATTTCTCAAACTCATTAATGATTCATGAAGTGACCAGGTAATAAATGATGTCTATTTTGATCAGGTGGATGAGTCTTTGATACTCAATGAAACACCAGATGAAAACACGCCGTGTTTTGATATCAAAACACGCGTGTGCTCATATCAAAATTACAATAACAAAACCAAAAATATCAATATTGCCGTTTATTGTCATCAACTTACTACATTACTCTTTCTACATACGATATCATACAACGTTCATGGAGGACAGCGGCCGCCCTTCTTATTTGCGACCTCCTGGATAAATTTAGCAGGACCAGTAGTTGAACGATAAAAGCATCCATGTCCTCCAGATTTTCTTGACTAGTCCCTGTACGGCGTCTTTTCAGGCCTTCCTTCTTCTCGGTCAATTTATTTCGGTGACGTATCCGAGACGAGCGGCCAAGAAACTTTCTCGGACCACGTGACCCGAAACGCATCGGCAGCGCACAATAATGAGGCCTCGGGACTAGGCAACAGATTGTCCTAGACAGAACACACGTGGTGAAAATCGTAATCTTTGAAACATTTCCAACTTCTAAATCCGGAGGTTTCAATGTTCTCGTCCTTTGCCATTCACGAAGAATTTCCACCATCCACTTATGTTTGTTCTTCGTGCCACTAGGTCTAGCAACACTGACTAAAGCAGACTGATCTTCCTTGACTGTTCTTGGAACTCTAAAACAGGAGTTAGCTGTACTTGCATCCATCTCATCACAACCAGGCCAACTTTGAATAATTTCGATACTAATTTTGTAAACAATAGTATACAATACAAAAATGTATTACAACAATACAACAAAAGATGCTTTGAGAAGCCATATCAAAAACTCGTGTTTCGGGTTTCATCAGGGTTTCCAATCACCTCGAAACACGGCCTCGTGCTTTCATCTGTTTCTCGGTGTGTGGACCCCCTGATGAAACCCTTGCACTCGTCGGTGATATATTACGTCCAACACATATGAGTGCAATAATGAAAACATCATCTCTGATCTAATTTCCAAGGCGCACAAAAGATCTTTTACCTCAAAAACTTCCTTGAAATAAATTATATAAGAAAAATTTCAGCAAAAGAAGTTAAATTACCCTGAGTTTACAAGTTTACAAGTTTACAAAGAAAGCAACAACTACTCATGCGATCAAAATTATTGCCCCTTTTGTAAGAGTTCAGAAAACTACTTGTGTCAGTTTCCCTTGCTGGCTGCTTACTGCTGTTGCTTTTGTTGTATGACCAGCTGTAACTGCTGTTGTTGATCTGACAATGGGTTTATTTTTAATTAGCATTGCTTGCGGGTATCCACGGTAGCTTCTTCTTACTTTCTCTTTATCTCCAGCTAGAGTTATCTTGACTCAACGTCAGATTCCCTCTGTGCTGCCTCCCTTGGATGGTGAAGGATGACATAGTGAATTTTAGACGCTTTTTCGGTGATTCTTCGTCTGAGCGTGCTCCATCCCCCTCTCCCTTCCGGGTGCTTTATCGGCTTATTCCTCTTCATCTACTTCCTCCTTGTTTCTATCATTGTCTCCAAAAAGGTCCTACGCACGTTAGATTGCCTGTGCAATTAAACGGGCACAAATATTTCCAAAACATACGGAGCAATCTAATACTCCAAATATGTGGGAAAGATTCCCTGTCTATCCTTTACGATAATTGTAGAGTCCTTACACACGTTTAATGGGTGGGCTTTAAGGAACTAATTATATCAAGGAACCGCCTTTACAGATTTTTAGTGAAGTGAAGTTTGAAGTTTAATATTAATCTTCAAAGAAGTTACAAATTAAATTAAATCAGATTAAAACACAAACATCCTCTGCTCTCAAATAGCTTAGCTAATCGAGGCGGGCAAAGGAAAACATAAAGTAATTTGCTAGGGAGAAATTAAGCAGAACACAGGGAAAGGAACATCTTTATAAATGACACAAGAAGATGGACTGAAGTTGTTACAGTACAGCGTTACAAAATGACAAACTTATTTTACATTTCATATCATCTAGTTTATTAATTAAAGTAGGTGTGTCAATATAAGTATCCTCCAATTCTAAAATATATAAAAGGAGCT